GAGGTCGACATTCAACGCTACGCTAGCTGTATACATTTTTACAATAACTCAAACCAATCGAATGAAATTTGTGCAAACACGGTGAATTTCGATATAAACACGGCGGATGTCATTGAAATTGCAGTGAATTTCGTCCGCTGAGGGGTCTTATATTTTATTGAATTTTGTCTGATGAATTAAAAATGTAAAACTAGAACCCTATTATCTTATACTTTACGATGACCTCGTAGCCAATGTCAGGCTGGACGGCTACTCCTTCGTCATTGTCACCCGACTTGTCGTCGGGCTTGGGGCGGCGGAAGGTGGTGGCGCCACAGCAGGGCTTCCCGGCGGCCGCCTGACACTCACGGATGATCCTCTCCGCCTCCTCCTGCGCCGTGCACAGTGCGGCCGCGCCCACCGAGGACGTGGGCTGGGGAAGAGAGCAGCGGTCGTTAGAGGCGTCGTCGTTGGCGGCGGCGGCGATCTCGGTGAGGGACCATTCCTCGCAGTACCTGGCCATCTTCTTGCTGAGGCGGCGGAGACGCCGCTTGGCCGTCTCCGACGTCGTCATGGAGCGGTCGAGGGCCCAGGCATACGCCAGGTCTGGCTCCGCTGTGATGTGTGGTGGTGGGACGTCGGAGTCCGCGAATTGGGATCGACGTGCGGCGTTGCGCCTATCCTGCCGGCGCTGCTCCCGGTCGGCGTACTCCTATGCTGCCATGGCGTTTCGGGATGACGATGATGAGGAGCTGCCGCGAAGATAGTGCAGAATGCGCCCGTGCGTCTTGGGCAGCGGCGAGCGGTGCTTCTCCTTGACGACGTGGCGGCGAGCGGCGCTCCACCTTGACGAGGTGGCGGGGCAGCGGCGAGATCCGCTCTTTCTTCACGACGCGTCGGGGTGGCAGCGAGAGCCGCTCTTCCTTGACGCAACGTCCGACTTGGAGGCCGCTGCTGCGCGATGGCGGGGAGCGTGGTGGGGATGCCGGTGTTGGGGAACACGGTAATTTCAAAAAAAAATCCTACGCACACGCAAGATCATGGTGATGCATAGCAACGAGAGGGGAGAGTGTTGTCCACGTACCCTCGTAGACCGTAAGCGGAAGTGTTATGACAACGCGGTTGATGTAGTCGTACGTCTTCACGATCGACCGATCCTAGTACCGAACGCACGACACCTCCGCGATCTGCACACGTTTAGCTCGGTGACGTCCCACGAACTCACGATCCAGTAGAGCTTCGAGGGAGAGTTCGGTCAGCACGACGGCGTGATGACAGTGTTGATGAAGCTACCGACGTAGAGCTTCGCCTAAGCACCACTATGATATGACCGAGGTGGATTATGATGGAGGGGGGCACCGCACACGGCTAAAAGATTAATGATCAACTTGTGTGTCAATGGGGTGCCCCTGGCCACGTATATAAAGGAGTGGAGGAGGAGGAGGGCTGGCCCTCCTATGGCGCGCCCTAGGGAGTCCTACTCCCACCGGGAGTAGGATTCCCCCTTTCCATGTAGTAGGAGTAGGAGAGAAAGAAAGGGAAAAGAGAAGAGAAGAGAAGGAAGGAGGGGCGGTAGTCAAATTCGGACTAGTCCTTTGGGGGGGCGCAGCCTCCTCTCTCTCTTTCCCTTAAAGCCCAATAAGGCCCATATACTCCCCGGCGAATTCCCATAACTCTCCAGTACTCCGAAAAATACCCGAATCACTCGGAACCTTTCTAATGTTCGAATATAGTCGTCCAATATATCGATCTTTACGTCTTGACCATTTCGAGACTCCTCGTCATGTCACCGATCTCATCCTGGACTTCGAACTACCTTCGGTACATCAAAACACATAAACTCATATTACCGATCATTACCGAACGTTAAGCGTGCGGACCTTACGGGTTCGAGAACTATGTAGACATGACCGAGACTCATCTCCGGTCAATAACCAATAGCGGAACCTGGATGCTCATATTGGCTCCTACATATTCTACGAAGATCTTTATCGGTCAAACCGCATAACAACATACGTTGTTCCCTTTGTCATCGGTATGTTACTTGCCCGAGATTCGATCGTCTGTATCTCAATACCTAGTTCAATCTCATTACCGGCAAGTCTCTTTACTTGTTCCATAATACATCACCCCGCAACTAACTCATTAGTTGCAATGCTTGCAAGGCTTAAAGTGATGTGCATTACCGAGAGGGCCCAGAGATACCTCTCCGACAAACGGAGTGACAAATCCTAATCTCGATCTATGCCAACTCAACAAGTACCATCGGAGACACCTGTAGAGCACCTTTATAATCACCCAGTTACATTGTGATGTTTGGTAGCACACAAAGTGTTCCTCCGGTATTCGGGAGTTGCATAATCTCATAGTCATATGAACATGTATAAGTCATGAAGAAAGCAATAGCAATATACTAAACGATCGAATGCTAAGCTAACGGAATGGGTTAAGTTAATCACATTATTCTCTAATGATGTGATCCCGTTAATCAAATGACAACTCATGTCTATGGCTAGGAAACTTAACCATCTTTGATTCAACGAGCTAGTCAAGTAGAGGCATACTAGTGACACTCTGTTTCTCTATGTATTCACACATGTACTAAGTTTCCGGTTAATACAATTCTAGCATGAATAACAAACATTTACCATGATATAAGGAAATATAAATAACAACTTTATTATTGCCTCTAGGGCATATTTCCTTCACTCTCCCACTTGCACTAGAGTCAATAATCTAGTTCACATCGTTTATGTGATTTAACACCAATAGCTCACATATTCATGTGATTAGTTCACATCTCCATCTGACTAACACCCAAAGGGTTTACCAGAGTCGATAATCTAGTTCACATCGCTATGTGATTAACACCCAAAGAGTGATCATGTTTTGCTTGTGAGAGAAATTTAGTCAACGGGTCTGCCACATTCATAGCCGTATGTATTTTGCAAATTTTCTATGTCTACAATGTTGTGCACGGAGCTACTCTAGCTAATTGCTCCCACTTTCAATATGTATCTAGATCGAGACTTAGAGTCA